TATGGTTGTAATCTTAGCACTCAAGAGGCTTAAGCAGGAGGATTGCTGTGAGTCTGAGCCTACCCTGGGCTATAAAATGAGATCAAGGCCAGCTTGAACTATATAGTGAGACCCTGTCCCCAAAAAAAACCAAAGAACCAAAATGATTAAGATAGGCATGATGGCACAGGACAGTAATCCCAGCTTCTTGGGAGACTAAAGCAGGAGAGTCACAAGTTTGAGGCCAACCTGGGGAACTCAGTGAGACCCTTACTCAAAAAAATATGAGTTGGATGTGGTGGTGCATGAGTGTAATACCAGTACCTGGGAGACTGAGGTAGGAGGATCAAAGAGTCTGGACTGTGTAGGGAGTTTCAGATGAGGCTGAACTTAGAGTGACACCCTGTCTAAAAAAATAAGTAAAAAATAAAAAGGGCTGAAGGTTAGCTCAGTAGTAGAGTACTTGCCTGAGTCCCTGGGTTCAACATGGGTACTGTACATACATATATACACACATACCTACCTACCTATCTACATCCATACATAAATACATACATATACACTAGGTTTCACTAACCTCAAGAGAGAAGTTAAACATTCTAAATTTAATTATACTGAACTGGGATAATATATTTCAATAAGAAATTATGTACACAATATGATCTGTACATGAAGCCCAAGAGAATACAAGCATCCCAGATTCTTTCTAGGATTTCCCAATCTGACCTAAAAAGGTCACTTTTATTGTGCTTTGGGAGATTCACTTAATTTAATTAATAAGCAATGTTTTTAAAGGTTTAAATTAATTTATGAAGTAGTTCTTTAATTAAACAAGGAAAGCATCATTCTCCAAAGGTAGATGAAACCTGAAGTTCTTTAAATTGATTACACCACTAGAAACTACTTTGCCCCACAATGAAAACAATTCATTTCTTAAAGACCGAAAATAGTACTTTGATTTCTAAAGTTAGTATCTGCTTGGGTGTTTGATTACCAGTTTTAAAAATGCTCTAGAACAGCTATCTACACCCATGAATGTGTATTTGCTGGGGACTTGCACAACACTGAAAATTAGTTGATGTATTTCTACACCACTTCTCTTCATTTGAAAACAATAATAAATTTACAAACTAAATTATCAGCTTACCTAAAGAATATTATATAAATTTGGTCAGCCCCAAGGTAAGGAGGTTATCAAAAGAGATTTAGAATAAATGCTTTATAATTGTCTCCCAATAAGTTTCCTTTGTGTCTTTCAGTATCATCATGAAATTAAACAGAAAGAGAACACTAAAGGCTACTGGTGGCCATTATGGGGTTCCCTGAGTTTCAAACACAAACAGACTGAGAGCAGGTGGTATAGGCAGTGTGTACATGCATGTTATCTACTCATTTATGTAAATTATCTTTATGTTTATTCTACATACAACATATATTCTACCTAGAAATTAATGCGTGTTATTAGAAATGAGTATGTCACCCACTTGCGCTGGTCTTTCGCCTACACATACGGGCACACACAGGATCAGTGATCAGTAGCTGGCTTGAATTTTGATAGTAGGCAGGTCTCACTCCCCCAAGTATGGATTCTACACCAGTATCTCTGGTGTTGCTCTTGGTTCATGAAAGAAAAATGGTGGGCCAGAGGCCCATCTTCTCGGACCTTTTGCTTGTTTTTTGGGGGTGGGGGAGTGGTTTCATGTACAAACTCAAAATCATGCTTTTAAATGTACACTTCAGTGGTTTCACTATATTCACAGTTATGCAACTATCACCACTGCCTAAATGCACAATATTTTCTCCATGCTTATTGTTTCAAGGTGTAAATTCATACCAACACTATTTTTCCCAGCCTTTGTAGAGATTGGAGTGTGGAGTACAAATGGACATAGTGACAAAACCTGAGAAAGCACATGTTTGCGTACATCATAAAAATCGGCATAAAGTACACGGTTAGACGATACAGCAAAAAGTGTGACTGCTGAGAGCCTCTGTCACATTACTGGGTCTTTAATTCCAACTCTGGCTTTTCTGAAATTGTCCTCTCATCCACCCCTTTTCTTTTTGATACTGGGTCTTGTTATGTTGCCCAGGCTAGTTTTGAACTTGTGAGCTCATGATCATCTTGCCTCAGCTGCCAAGTAGCTGGGACCACAGTGTGTGCCACTCATCTATCTCCCTACATATCCCTTTAATGTCTGCTACCAATCCAAGGGAAACAGCATCAAACTGAAATGTATCTTAGAATACCCTGTACGACATTACTGGGCATTTAAGAAAAATGATCACCACAATGTCCCGAACTCTCTCGCCATATGGCAAGCCAGAGGGTGGGCACACCACTGTAAAGCAGTGTGAGTCCCATAAGGAGGGGTGTTACTGACCGCTGCAATGCCCTCAAAGACTTTCCCCAGTTGTTCATAAACTGGGGTCCCAACCCCAAACCTAGGAATTATAAAGTGCTCATTCCCAGCATAGAGATCTTTTTCTTTTTTTGTCTTTTTTTGGGTCTCGCTATGCAGTTCAGGCTGGCCTTGAGCTCACTTGGTAGCCCAGGCTGGTCTTGAACTGGCAAGAATGCTCCTGCCTCAGCCTCCCGAGTGCTGGGATTACAGACGTGTGCCACCACGCCCAGCGGGATCTTATTCTTGACAAGATTAAATTTAGAAGATCCTTAAAGGTACTTTTAAAGATACTTTACTGCTCTACTTTAAATAATTATAATTGGTTTCTTAAACTAGATATTGATCATGTGAAGGACGAAATCTGTTGACGGTTAGAAACTATGCTGTCAACTATGTTGTCAAACTATGTTGTCCTCTGTCTTGAAAACGTAATTATGACTTCAGGATTGCAACTTTACGAAGTATGTCACCAGGACGAATATCTAGACAGCATTAAAGGGGATAGGAATATTATTTAGGTAATATATGAGAAGCTATTATAGTAATCCAAAAGAAAGAATTATAGAGGGTATCTGATACGTGCAAATAAGAGGTCATAACACTGAACTTAAAAGTAGTATTTGCTTTCAAAACAAAAACAAGGAAGTTTAACTGTATATCCACCAATTAAAAACTATGTTGATAATCTTACATATTATAAGTACTTTAAAAATAATATACATCACATTATTTATTTATACATACCTGCTTTGATATAAAGATGATTTAAGACTCAATAATAGTTTAATCCCTGCCAGGTTTTGAATGTACAAGTTTGGTTTTCATTTCCTTTCTCTCTTATTTGAAAGCACTGTTCACAGATTTTCTTCATAATTATGGTGGCATTGAGAAAATTAGAATGATACAGGAAGGTTTCATTTTAAAACTTTAATAATATTTTACCATTACTAGTTTCAAGCCTTTCTAAACCAATCTGTCATAGGATTTATGTGAAGACTGGACTTACTGAGGGAATAATGAATGTGGGAATTGAGCACCTGCTCATAGCTGTCTACCAAAGCTATTCATAGGATTTTATTATCAGTTCTTAAGCCTTTTCTATAAACAGGAGAAGAAACATATTGACTAAAAATGTTAGAGGATTAAGTAACAATACTCAGGAGAAATATGAGGACAGTCAGGGAATGAAGGCACAGGCCCATACAGGGTTGTATGATTGTAATAATTCTTAGATAACTGAGTAGTAAACTTCATAAACTAACAATAACCAAACTTACTGAACAGGGCTGGGGATTTAGCTCAGCGGCAAAAGCGCCTGCCTGGCAAGCGCAAGGTCTTGAGTTCGGTTCCCGGTACCAGAGAAAAACCAAAAAAAAAAAAAAAAAAAAAACAACAAACTTACTGAACACCAACTATGTGCTAAGTACTTAACATATAGCATCTCTCATCTTCACCATGGTCCACCAAGAAATCATGTATGCTACACATTTTACACATGAGAAACAGGCTCAATATTTAGTCCAAGTTGCTCAACAATGGCACAGATATTAAAACCCCCAACTAGGATTCCATATCCTACTTAGATACATGCTTTAGAGAGCCAGGATCTGAACTCTGGTCTGACTACAAACTCCACCCACACCTTCCATCATGCTCCTCTGTCCACAACCCCTGCTACTCGGTTCTGCAACCAAGTGAAGACACACTGTGTGACTGTGGTGTCCACATCCAGCTCTCTAGCCACACAAAGACAACTCTGGCTACAAAAGTGGAGGTCATCCCACAGTGGTTTCATTATTAATGTCGCAACAGTACTTTTCTTAGCAGGACATTTTGGCACTGGCCGGGTAATGATGTGAAGAGGGCAGGAACCACATTGTATGAGTAAAGAATTAGAGCATGTTGAAGAGAGACAATGACATTTCACATGGAAAAAGTATAGTATTGGCTCCAGGGACCAGGGTTGCTCAGTACCCCTGAAGAGGTCTACCTTCATGAACGGCTCAATTTTTAAAAATACCACAGCTAACTGGGATATTAAAATGGAAATCATTTGAGACTGCAAACTATACACAGACGTCACTGTTCTCCACCAATTTGTGGAAATAAATGTTGCAACAAACACCATCACTGCGCTTGATATACCTTTGTGCCTTTTATTTTTCCTTCTGAGTGAGTTTATATCTTTTAACATTTGCTACAGACAGAGGTAAGTTTGAAACATCCTTGTGTCAGTCTTCAAACAGTTCACCTTCTAAAAGTCTCTGTGGAAGTGATCATGCACAGTTAAAACAGTACTTTGCCATTTTCCTTTTTCTCCTCATTTTTGAAAGTAGAGAGCCACTTTCTTTCCTTTTCCCTCTCTCTCTCTCTCAGCTTCTTATGAAGAGTCCCAGTATAAATGCAACAGCTGGAGTTACCTACAAATACACAAACTGAAAGAAAAGAAATATGATTGGCTGCTTGGGAGTCTGAAATGAAGACACACCCGGACAGTTAGCATGTTCAAACAGCCTCTAAGCCAATCAGAGTAGAACAGAGGAAACTGGACTTGCCACAGATGCTGCTATGGGGTAAAAAAGAGCTTCGCTGACAGGTGCAAAGTGGCTCCCCTACCTTGTATCTATCCATTGGGTCTTCCTGTTGCAGCTGGCTCTCCCGCATGGTCTGATATTCTTTTTCATATTTCTTCAGCTTTTTCGTTGGTACCTGCAGAGTTTAAAGAAGTGTATGATAGATAAGACCGTAAGTTAGGAACATTTTTAAATGTTATTCCCAATTGTGTTTCTAGCATTCTAAAGGAGCATTCCTAACTCAAAGTGAAGAGGGTGAGGGATGTAGATGCTGGCGTAGGGCCTGGCAAACTTTTCCCATCAAGTTCTTAGCACGTATCTTAGACTCTACACTGTCAGGGTCACAATCATTCAACTCTGTTGTTACTGTACAAAAGTTGCCCTATATGATGCATACACAAATGAGTGTGGCAGTGTTCCAATAAAGCTTTATTTACACAAATGCAGTTTACTCATCTCTGTTCAATAATTTGGCTGATACCATGACCTTGTCTTATGTATGTATTTAACAGTGGCATTTATTTTAACTCTCTTTAGGTATAATTCACTCAGTCTTTTATCTTGAAAATAAAAATTATTTTATAGAAATAAACTAAACAATAATAAAATCTGATGCTGAAACTTAAATGCAGTGTACTAAGTGGAACAGCAGAAAATCATCTAAACAATACATATTTTTCTTACTAAAATTATGTCATCCTCAAAAGATAGTAGTTTACTCTTTTCTAAAAAGACTAGAATCTTATAGAATCTTAGAATTTTAACAATAAACAAGCATAGCACAGCATAAAACTCACAGAATGACACTAAATAAACCAGGCTCTGAATGCCCACTATTCGTTTATGAACTGTGTATTATTCATGAACCACAACAAACAAGGAATTTAGTGTTCAGCCTCAGTTTCTTCATCTATAAAATAGCAAGTAAACAAATTTCTACCTCATAATAGTTGTCAGGAGAAATAAGTGACATAACACAGGTAAAGTATCTAAAATAATGTTTGTCTCATGGAAATTTTAAAAAATTTAGAAAAACTATTCAGTCAGAATTAATGTATTAAACCTATTCTGGTCCATATGACAGATGAAGTCTACTTTCAACTTTTCTTTGGACAACTGAAATGATAGAATTCCTTTAAATATAAGAATTTCGCCTAAATGTTTAGATCCCAAAGAAAGAGATTTGAAAAAAACTTTTTTTTAAAAAATTATAAACATGGTATTTTACTGACTTGTTGACAAGTCAGTGAAGGCAAGAATGACCATCAGTCTCAGGATCTACTATGATATGTACCAAAGGATTTTGCCCATTCTAAACCCTCTACTGGCTACATTTCATATTGAATTAAAATATAGTATTTAGGGAAAATATGTAATAAAGATAAAACATATAATCTATACATATATATTGTGAGAACAAGCACACTAGGGAGAGAAGACAAAGGATGAAAAGCTCCCAGCATGAATATGATTATATCATATCATTATTTGAGATATTATCATTATCATATGGTATTATCATATCATTATTTGAGACTATTAAGGATAGTCTCAAATTCTGTGAAATCTAGCCTGAGACTGTTAAAAAACGAGGACACTAGTATCATTTTCCTTCTTGGTCTATGTACTTAGTATTGCCTTCCAGGAGCCCCATGAAATACTGGAATTACCCGCTTCTGACTACAATTGGGAAGTTCCACAGGCTCAATCCAAACCCAACAGAAGGTGTGAACTGTTCAATAGCCACATTACGAGGATATTCAGCGGCTGATGGGGAAATATCTCCCCAGTCAAACAAGAAGTAAAGACATTTTCCAGGGTGGAACTGAACTGCAAACCACTGTTGAACACTGTCATTAGGAACACTAACCCTGGATTGCCCCATCTCCAGAGACCTGCCACAGCACACTGTGACCAACCAGAGTGCAGCAGAAAGGAAGGCACCACCCGCCAACTGTGTGGCTTCACAAATCATTAGATAAACAAGGGAAGTACACAGATCATGTGCTAACAAACCAGCAAGCGTAATCTCCTTGATTTTGATGGTGGCGGCTCAGCGTCCTTTCATCTTCTTTTCTATGTATGTATTAATCATGTATTCAGAAAACCAAAGAAAGCACTGACACAAAAATGGCACTGGAGCAAAAGAGAGCAGGAAAGAAGTCTCAGGGTTTTAAGCTGCGACAAGGAATTTCAAGTACATCTCTGCAAACAGGGGCCAATCTAAAGTGCTGCAGAGAGAGAATCTACTTTACAGCCATTTACTCACCACATCGGAAACATGTTAGTGTTTTACGGCTGGAATACCATACTACTGGGTATGAGGCTGAATGTCAGTCCTGTGCATAAGTATTCTCTGCACAGATCTAAAATGGATCCACTCACTGATGGCTGCATTACATACTGCAAGCTTGTTCCTAAAGAATTCTTTAAAACCTCATTTTTAAAATTCACACTAATTCGGAGATTGTTTCTCACATGTAAAAGAGTTTTCTCTTAACAGTCAAACTTGCTATTTATGTTAATAGCTTTATTTCAAACTGAATTTTTTTAAACAATGGGTTAAACACCCTCAATAAGCTCATCCGTTCCCATCTGGCTGAGATTCTAGGATGTTTGGCTTCATCTTGTTCAGGAAAACAGAGCAGGTTCCCAGGACAATATGTTGCTAGGAAACCTTCCAAGCGTATTTATCTTGTGTTGCGGGGTGACATTGAGCAGCTACCTGTAATTGGCACAGTGTGAAATGGGGAAAAGGGTGAAAGAAGAACAGAAGAGAGTTCATATGAAACTTGTTATTTATGAGGGGATCAAAGAAATTGGATTATCGTAAACACGATCTTTCAGGACAAAATTGTGTTTTCTTTTAGGGAACGGAATACCGAAGTTTGAAACTGTTTTTATTGCAGAAAGCACGTTTTAAAGAAACCCTCTTCAATACTGTTATGTAGTTTTAATTAAAAGAACAAATCCTCAAAAAATCCACAACTGTTTTATGAGTGTAACCAACAGTGAGCACTCATCACTTCAACGTATTTATCAAAAACAACCAAGCAACTAAATAGAAAAAGGAAAAAGAACACCCAACGGAGGCGAGACAACCTTAATGAGTATGGTAGGGATCACTGAAATATCCAGCCAAGGCTTGACATTTTGGACTTGACAACTACATCTTAGGAAGACAGCATTTTAAGACATAACCAGTATTTATACCTTCTAAATCATTTATGATCTTTAGAGATATTTCACAATGGCCCTGACTGTTAAATTTGATCATAACAACCATTTACATGGAATTAGTAAATTTAAGCTGCAGGGGAGGCCACCTATGCTGCAATCCCTTTCACTAGGATGAGGAAGTCAAACAACAGTGACCAGAGAACTCTGGGTGGAGCCAGGGCTGCGGCCAAGCAATCTGGAGGCTGGGCAGGTGCGGCCCCCTCTACCCTCCATGCCACCGCCTCCTTTGCCTTTATACTGGGCATTTTTCAAATGAAATATTTATAGTCTTCAATTTTAGTCATTCGAATTCTACTGTCACAGGGCTGGAGATATAACTCAGCAGCACAGCACCTGCCTAGCAAGCACGAGGTCGTGAGTTCAATTCCTGGTACCCAAAACAAAACAAACAAAACAAAAAAAACCCCCAAGTTCTACTGTCATTATTTTTGCCATATCCAATGACATTTTACTATTTTTCTTTAAGTCAACTTATTTTTTTAAGCCAGGTAAGGTGGTACACACCTGAAATTATAGCACTTTTGGAGACTGAGGCAGGAGGTTTGAAAATTGCCCAGCCTGGGTAACTTAGCAACTGAGTGAAACTTGGCCTTAAAAAAAAAAAAAAAAAAAAAAAAAAGATAAAGGGTTTTGGGATGTAGCTCATTGTGCAGGCCCTGGCTTCAATCCCTAGTAATCCCCCCGAAAAAACAACTTATATTCAACACAAACTATTTTATAAGAAAATAATCAGTTTGGAAATAGCAGTTAATACACAACAATGGTCTCTCAAAGATGTTGCATTTTAATCCCTAGAAACTATGAATGACTTCCTTACATGGCAAAATGGATTTTGCAGGTATGATAAGGTTAAGGACCTTAAGATGGGAAGATAATTTTAGATTACTGGGTGAACCCAACACAATCATTAAAGAGGGCCATGTCTCTAGACTTCAATCAGAGAAAGACGTGTTACTGCAGAAGTGCCAAAGAAATCCCACATTTCTAACTTTGAAGACAGAAGCAGAATTTCCAGAATTAGGGAATGCGAGCATCCTCCAGCACCTGGAAAAGGCAAAGAAATGAGTTCTCTCCAAGAACCTCTGGAAAGGAGTGCGGTCCTAACAACACCTTCATTTTAACCCACTGAAACCTCCCGAACTATAAAATAATAAATTCATGTTCTTTTAGGTATTTAAGTTGCAGTCATTTGTTATGGTAACAATAAGAAACTAAAACAACATACTGGAAATAATATATACTCTTAATAGAGCTATTAAATGCTTACCAAAACAAAGTGTAAACTCCCAATGATGTAGGAGGTAGGGTACGGGAAAGCTGGCTGAGGAAATAAGTAGGGCCTGTAGTTACAAGATGCCAGGACAGCACCAAATAATTCCCAGGACCCCGTATGTGGAACTTCTCACAGGCTCTCAGACATAAGCTACCACCAGGACTTGTTATTTCTTTTATTTTTGCTTTTTATCCTTTCCTCTCTTTGTTTGGCCAGAGTTTACTCTACAGAACTACTTTTCCCATTACCTTCACCTGTAACTTTGCAAATAAACTTTTGGCACTGTTTTTGGCCATTCTCATCCAATTCTACGAGGCAAAAAGGACCTGAAATACTTTTAACTGGTAAGCCATTTTTAAAGAAACTATCCAACAACACCAACACTTTTGCTGAAACAAAATACAAATTCCCTTGCTCTTCATGTTATAACCAACTGTAAATATGTCAGCATAAAATAAACGGTAATTGCTAACCCTCATAAATATCAGAAAACAAACTACATACCAGGAAGCAAAAGATAAAAACCACTCTGCTTCAGCCAATGTACTGACTCACATGGTCTGTTCTGTCCCTCATATTACTTTTTTTTTTTTTTTTTTTTTGTTTTT